AGGTAGCTAGTGCAGGAGAGGAGTAGCCCTCAGGAGTGAGTGTAACTGCTGGGCTCTTTGACGGAGGGTGACATCGCTCTGTGGCTCTGAGGGAGGGGCAGGAGCTTGTCTGCTGGAGTAACACTGTGTTAGGGCCGTGCCATTGAAGGCCCATGATTATAAACTTGGCCATTATCCCCTCCCCTTCTGCTGTGTCTAACCCTCACGCCCACCTTGGGCAGGTCCCTGCTCTAGGGTAAGAAGGAGGGGCTATGCTGGGGCCTTGTCTGGTGTGTGGGACCAGGGGCCATTCAGTGTCTGCATCATACGACGTTTGTAAATGTCACTGCCAGACAAAGGCAGGTGGTGAGGAGCCTCCTGAGGCCCCCCTGCCCTTGCCCCGCCCCCAGTCACCATATGGGGCTTTAGGTTTGTTACGTATCCCCGTGAGATTAGAATTTGCTCCCTGCGGTTCTGCTGGCGGCTGTAGGGTTCCATCTCCAGGCTCGTGGGGCAGGAGACCTTTGCCAACTCGCTGCCAGCAGATGAGCTGGACACTTGTTCTGCTTGTGCAGTGTGAAATACCTGGCCGGGATCTCAGCTCAGGCCGTCTAGGCCACTCACCTCCTCAGACGCCTCCTCGCATTTGATAATGACGGAAGGGGGGTCCTGTTCAGTGGAGAAGAATCCAGAGCAGTCTTTGACCAGCTGCAAGGGAGAGAAAAGAGACCTCAGCATCTTACTGTCAGGGAGTGATAACGCTCAGGCCACTCGCGTGTGGAGACCTGCTTCCCAGTGTGGGTTGCTCACAAGTTCAGCAGGAGGTTGGGAGGCTCAATCATGGGCCTGGTTTGGACATCACACTGGGTCAGGACCCTATTGTGCAAGGTGCTGTACAGAGGATGGTCCCTGCTCCGAGGAGCTCACAATCTGTGTAACCCTGGCTCGTGTTCAATAGCACCTTAGTTTGCGAGCAGTCACTATGTGATCTGTGGGATTCCTTGTGTACTCCAGCTGAGTGAGAGGGGCCCACGGAGAACAGCGTATGGGTAAATGTAGCTATAGACAAGAGAATGAGCCAAAATCTACACTCAGTTGAGCCAAGCGAGGCAGGATTGCTGTTAGGGCAGAGCATGCTTACGGAACGAGAAGCATGGACGTGCAGTTACAGCGTAGACCTGGGTTGAATTCTCCTCTCTGCCACTGTCCTAGTGTGTGACCTTGAGTGAGTCACATCACCCACCAGTGACCCGGGGATAAGAGCACTCCCTCTCGGCCAGCCTTTGCCTGTCTGGTCTATTTCGATTGTGAACACTTTGGGGCAGGGCAGGGACTGTCTGAGTTTATGCAGCACCTGACACTATGGGGCCCCGTTCTCATTAGGGATGTCAAAGTGCTAGTGTACCATAAATAATATTTTACACGAGCTGCATCCCCTTCTCCTTTTGACTTCAGTGAGAGTTCCACAGTAGAACAGTGCCCCAGCTGACAACAGCAAACCAGAGATTAAAAACCATCCAGTCCTATAATTAGGGGTTGGATGAATGGATGTATGTTGTCTGTGACATTAATGTAAGGATCTGTAATAGGATACAGCGGAAGAGGCACTGTACCATACCACCCTTCTTTCCTTTACATCTCTGCTTGAAAGATGCTGTTGTGCATCTGTGGGATCAGTGAGAGAAGAACAGAGGGAGGGGTCTCTGTGCAGGGAGTGATCCTTACCCCATCTTCTTTGAATTCACATTGGTTGGGGTCGCGTTTCTCTGATATCAGGCATACAGTCTCTTTCACAGTGAATGTCACCGGCTGGATAGTTTTAGAAGACGCATCCTAAAAAAAATTTCAATGAATAAAGAAAATTAACATTCACAGTGAGCATCAAGGCCCCAGGCCCCACTTTGGCCTTGTAAATATTTTTCTTTGATGTTACAGTATCACCCAGATTGGTATCAGATCCGCACTGTGTGAGGTGCTGTTCACCTTGCCCTAAAGAGAATGTAAGTATTGACTTGTTCTATTCTACTGAAGTAAACAGTTAATAATCATTCGCAGCAGTAGGCTAGGGCCCTGAATTTTTCAAATGCTGTTCAAACATAAATCCAGGAATGTAACTTCATATATTGTGGCCTAACTCTGATGTAGCTCCATTGTCTTAAATGGGGCTGATTTGCACCAGATGAGGGTCTGGCCCATGTTTCTACAGCATGAACAAATAATTAGTATCTTGCAATTCTCTCCCCGTCTTCCTCTCCTGTCCCCTGGCCTTCTCTTAGAAAATCCAGTCACTCAGTGTTTCTGCATGTGTTTTAATTCCTGAAAGTGCGATTCTGGTCTGAAATGACATGGTCCGAGTGAGCTCCTGGGATTCCAGGTGTCATTGCCTCACTGTAATTTCTATACGTAGGTTTCTGTGTTGAAGAAGTTACTTGTGTGTGCAGGTGTTTGCAGGATCGGAGCCCAAGTGTCCTCCTTTTGGGCTTGATCATGAAACACTCTGAGCACCCTCAACTTCCACTGACCTCACTGCGACCAGAGGGTGCTTGGTAGCTCACGGGTAGGGTTACCATCCGTCTGGCTTTCCCTGGACACGTCCGGCTTTTTCAGCTTTAAATGGCCGTCCGGGGGGGATTTCTAATAAAGTGGAAATGTCCGGGATTTCCCTCTTCCCCTCATGCAGAGTGCGGCGTGGCTGATTGGACGGCTGGGCTTGATTGAAAGCCGCTTGCAGCCACTGGGGCCTCTAGCAGCCAGAGTCCCTCCCCCTTCCCCACTCCCTCCTCCCCCGCAGAGCAGTGCCACAGTGTTTGGCTGCACGTGGAGCCCGCAGCTCTCCCTCGGCCTGGTGAGCAGGGCAGGCGGGGGGGTGCAGAGGCTGCAGGGCGAGGAGGAGCAGGACAGGCAGGGGCATAGAGGCTGCAGGGGCAGGGCAAGCAGGGGGTACAGAGGCTGCAGGGGCAGGGGGGTGCAGGGCAGGCGAGGGGGTGCAGGGACTGCAGGGCGAGTGGGGAGCAGGGAAGCACTTAGCAACCCCCAAACAAGATCAGAGCGGGAGGGAGGAGGGGGAATGCAGGGTGCTCAGAGGAGGGGGCAGCGTTGGGGCAGGGACTATGGGGAAGGGGTTGGAGAAGGCGCAGGGTTGGGGCGGGGCCAGGGGCGGAGTTGGGGCAGGGCCGTGGGCGGGACCGGGGCCCCGTGGAGTGTCCTCTTTTTTTAAATGTTTGAATATGGTAACCCTACTCACGGGATCAAAACTTTCATTAAAAGTTTGATTATTTCCCCCAATTGAATGTTTGCTCTGAAGCTCAAGCCCTGCTTTTGCTTTTCATTCCTCATCACGGGAACCCAAGAAACAAGGTGCTGTTGATAATGCAAGAGAAGGACCAGAATCCAGCTCCCCTCTGAATACCCAGCTGGAGTACAAAGGAGTGAGCATTTCTGTTAGCCATGGGCCAGGATTTTAGAACGTGGCTGGTGAGTTTGTGTGCCTCACGATTGGGTGCCCTATTTGAGGGCCTTAAAGGGGCCTGAGTCTTGGAGTGCGGGTGCTGAGAATGTTCTAGAAATCAGACCCTTCTGAGGTGTTTCCAGTTGGGCACCTGAAACCACTCGTCACTTACAAAACTCTTAAAACCCAAATCCGACAGCTCTGACTCTGAATACGCAGAGGGAGCAGCTCTGCTGAGCAAGGGGATGCCATTTGGGGCACTCTCACTTTTTAGAGCAAGGGCAGCATTTTAAAACAAACACAATCTTGTACTGAAGATAAGCGGTAACTCTGGCAACTTTTGCAATCAACATAGGGGGCAGGGGACTGGACTCGATGACCTCTCGAGGTCCCTTCCAGTCCTAGAATCTATGAATCTATGAACAGGTCTCAGTGAACAGGACATTAGTGAAATATTACATACATTAGAGCATAGGATAGTGTATGCTTATTTTGATTGCAAGGTATTGCTCTGTGCCTCAGTTTCCCCCTCTAAAATGCGGATAATAATATGTCCTTTCTCCCACCCTTTGTCTTATCTATTTGGATTGAAAAGTTCTAGGCAGGAACTGTCTCTTACTATGTATTTGTACAGCACCTAGCACAATAGGGCTGTGGTCTTGGCTTGAACCTCTAATGCTGCTGGGATATAAATAATATATCAATTAGGTCCCTCCTGGAAAAATGGTGCCCAGCACTTTGTTGCCACTTAATAAATAATGAAAATAAGGGATTAACGAATGTCTTTAAATTAAGTCTGTCTTCTACATACGGCTCAATTTGAATTCTCTGTGCAAGGAGACCCAGGGAGGGCACTGAATTCAAAAGGTCTTTTCCTAAAGCTTTTTAAACTTTCAAAGAACCATCTTTTAATGACCAAAAATCAGTATTTATTTGTAAAGGCTCAGAAAGCAGAAAGCTAAAAGAAAAAAAACCAGAACCCCACCGGTATCTTTATTAAATCGTGATTTTTTAAGCCAATCCCATGATTTTTTCAGGACTGACTCATTCTCTTTGAACACTTGTGGCTGGCCACCGCCTTTGTGCCAGGCGCTGTACAAACACAGAGTAAGTTGGTCCCTGCCCCGAATTACTCACAGTATAATTCAAATGGAAACATTCTCTGCCTGCTGAATCTGAATGAACTGCTGGTGTCAGGCCCTTCCTCTGCACTGGGGCCAGGAAGCTGCTGTGTGGTGATACAGGGAAATAGCTGTCTGGCTGCTCCCTGTCCCTGCACATAGTTCACTCCCTCTTTGTAACCAATTTTGGCCATGATGCTTTCAGTGACTCCAGCTGGCTCGTCTATAAATTCCCTGTTGTTCCCCTTCCCCTAACCTCTGCCTATTTGGACTGTGAACGGGAACTGTCTTTCATGGCCCCACCAGAAATCAGCCCTGGATGATAACGAGGGTGCAAATACCAGGCTGTAGGTACAGGAGCCTAGCATCAGAGGGCAGCGATTCCCATTGACTTGCCCTGTGAGCTCAAGCGGCATCGAATAGGCCACAAAGCGATTCCCCAGGTCACTCACCCAGTCTGGCTGCGGCTCAGCTTCCAGGAGCCGATAGGCCAGTGTTGTGCCTGGCTCTTGGTTGTACGCCTGAACTGCAGCTAAAACCGCATCCTCGTGGGTTGGCAGAGGGGCTGATGATGGCGTGGGGGCTGCTGTGACCACCCCGACGAGCAGCAGGACTTTCAGGCAGGTCTCCATCCTGTGCCCTGTGGCATTCAATGCGAGCTGGGTGGGCCGCCCAGTCCCTCCCTGGGGAAGCCCTTTTATACGCTCCCTCCTCTGTATGGGCTACTGCCTCATTGGCTGCCTGCTTTGGTCCTCCCTTAACCGGTGGCTTTTCTCCCTCCATCGGCAGTATGTTTCCATTGGTCCCCCTGCTGGGGCGGGCAGAGAGGGAGGTTGGGCAGGAGAAAAGGAGGAATTTTTCTAATAAATTGCTGAAATTGTGTGCACCAATTGCTAAACAAGCCATGGCGGGGGGTGGCCGGGGGCCGCTGTATTGGGAAAGACCAAGGTACCTGTACCTCTCTTGCTGTAAGTCAGCGTAGATCCATGAAAGCCAATGGAGCTAGGGCAACTTAAACCAGCTGAGGATCTGTTGGGCCAGGACCTCAGCTGCTCTAAGTTGCCATTGCTCTATCTACCCTGACTTATATCAAGAAAACACCTCTCCCCTAAAGTCCAGACAACCAGAGTCAGCTCTCAGTCCAGACATCACACAACAAGCATTCCCCTAGAGCCAGTCAGTAGGCCCAGGTCGTTGTGTTTGGTGGTACCACCGCTAAATCCAAGGGGAATGTACAGTGCATCGACAATGGATAACCACACACCGGACTGCTCCTGACTGGCCAACCTGCTCTTTTGGATCCCAAGCAATGGGACTGCCCCATGTCCAATAGGAGGACCCTGTTCCAAAGCTGGAGACATCTCGCTATTAGGAAGTGTTCCTAACCCATCCCTTCTTAATATTATCCCATTGCTCCTAGTCATACCCCGTAGCCCCCTTTCCAAATGAATCCCCCTCTCTTTGAGTTAACTCTTTTGTGGCTGCTACCATTTTTTCCTTATTCTGTATTTACATTAGCCAATTTTCACTGCATGTAGCTGTGTCTCTACCCAAGCCAATTTCAATTAATTTTGAGAATCAGATTTCATGGGACATTGTCTCAGGTGTGTTACCAAAAGCCATTTATATCCCATCGACCACTTCCTCTCCATCCACTGGTCCTGCAGTTCTGTCAAGCACAGCAATCAAACTTTCCCTCCTATATAAAACACAGTAAACAGTGTGGACGGTATTGCTGGCTGTGAAGTCCCCTTCATGAGGATTCTGCTGCGGGATGAGAACAGGAAGTCTCAGGATTCTTTCTTCAGCTCATTTCTGGCACATTCTGGCTGACCGTTTAGCTGCGGTTTTGTAATCCAGGCAGGACGGACGGGGTTTGTAACTGATATTTCCGTCCTTCCCTGGGTAATACGTGTATTAAAACTGGTGCCAGGCAGAACTGGGCAGCAGTGCGTTCATACCACTTGCTTCTCTATCAGTCAGTTGCTGAAATGCTAGAAGTTTTGGACGTGTCCTTTAACACTCCCCTATTAACTTGACTGATCCTTGAGTCTTACTACTTATTATTATTATTTATTATTGTTACACCTTAATCACAAAATCATGTTTTGCCCAGCCGAATTTCCCCGCTCAGCCTAAGGAGTGCATCTTGCATGTGCCCCCCTGGGGTTTAGGTTAAATGCAGAATTGTATTTGATTCAAAGTTTGGATGTTGATGATTGAATCTGGCCAATAGTTTGCAAAGTCTGTCAACTCCGTGTGTGACTTTTGGCAAATTACTTTATCTCTATGGGGCTCAGTTCCCCATCTGTGACTAACGATCCTTTCTTTCTCCCACTCTTCGTCCATATTGACTGTTTAGATCGAATGCTCATAAGGGCGATGACTCTCCCATCCTGTGTCTGTGTACAACACTTAGCATAACTGATCTTGGTTGGTATGTGCAGGTGCTAGTGTCATATGAACTAAGACTGGGGCACATGGCAGTGAAGAATTCAGCCCCCAGTCTTTAGTTTCTGGTGCTCTATTAAATAGTGACAGGTTTCAGAGTAGAAGCCGTGTTATTCTGTATCCACAAAAAGAAGAACA